GTAGCTAAAAATAAAAAATGGTGGGACAAATTCGCACAGTAGTACAAAATTAAAAAATTGGTGGAAAAAATTTTTGCACACAGGTGTAAATTTAAAAAAATTTCATGAAATTCAAAATTTCTAAAATTTTTATAATTTCCGAAATTTTCAAAAATTTGAAAATATGTAAAAAGCTTATAACTACATACCCAACCCTGAACATTTACTAACTGAATTAATTTATCCATGGTTTTTTGTGTACAAATATTGTACTACGATAAATAAAGTTTTAAATGTTCAAAATTAAGAATTTAAAATAAAAATGGAAAGGTTTTAAACATAAACAAAATATTCCTTAGTATTTTGGGTTATCCTTGTTGGTCCAGCCCTGCTTTTTCCCCCCTCTTCCCCAACAATTGCGAAGCGGCCATCGACAATTCATTATTGACTACATTATGTAAACAGAAATTTCTATTATTTGCTCACAATTAAAATTTCAGGCATATTAACCCTTTAAACCTACATTTGTTAATTTGTTATTTGATTAACTCGTACTCGTTGACGCTAGAATGCTCTAATTACATAATACCTAGTTTGTTTTGGTTATATATGCTCGCTTAGGTAATCGCAAAAGGGTTTAAAAGTCCTGGAAGGATGATAATAAGATAAAAAGTTTAACAATAAGGATCTCTAAAATTTGACAAAATTCTTTGACATTTTTCTAGATTTTTTTCAAAATATAATTTTGACAAGAACATTAAAGCTTTAAGTTTTTGTAGCTAATTTTCCCCAACCCATAGCATTGTACAATAAATATTTTTACTCGAGGGTAAGCATTTTGATTGATTTCACGTTTCACACTAACTAAATATTTTTTTCTTAGCAGAAAATAAAAGCCGTACTAATACTTTTTTGATATATTAATGCCTAAAGGTTTTGATAATTCCCTAGATTAGGGAACCTTTCCTGGGGTTGGCAACGCTGTTACGAGAACAAAATAAAAATAACTCTACATGTGTCTAATATTTTATGGCAAAAATAAAGCAAAACTTTCGTGATAACATTTATAACTTTGTGTTAATTTTTGATTAGGTATATTAAACAAATCGATACATTTTATATAAACTTGTTGAACTTTCCGATACAATTATTTTATTAAATTTTTACTACATTATTGAGATAGCGAAAACGAAGTCGACGTGTTTAAGCGTTGGAAAAATTTTAAATAGGATTTTTATCCTCAACGAAATATTTCATAGTTGAATGGCGATATTTTAAAGTGCAGCCTGGAAAAACTTTAATATATTACGCGCGGCCAAAAACTAATAAATCAGGGAGCGATAAAGCCGAGAGATATTGTTCGAAAGGAGCAATATTCTCCATGCGAGAATTATCCTCATAAAAATAAGACCGAATATATACATGGTGCATGAATTTTATCAATAGAATCAATAAATTTAATTTGGAAAATAATTATATTTTGTAAAATAGTCAAAAATGATTTTTGAATTATAAAACTATGTTTTATAAGTAATAAAACTGAACCATTATATACAAGAACCCATGTCTCACCGTTTCACGAAAACACGTCATTTAAATTTTTATACAGCCATTCTTTGTTTTAACATAAACAGATATGTATTTAATTCTCTGTTTTGTTATAAATTATTTTTTTTTTTTGAAATATTGTTTTTTTGCATAGGACAAAAATTATACTTAAAAAAATAATAATTTTATTATTTTTTAAATATAATAAAAATAATTTGTTTTAAATTTTTAACTTTTTTTTAGTTTGACGATTATTCATTGGCAATGTAACATTGCTTTAGAATCTATAGTGGTATCACAACCTAAAAAACTACTTGAAATATTTTGTAAATGTGTAACACCCTGTATAAAATTGAAATAAATTTAAAATGTAGCTTTAATGGTTGTCCATTTTTTCAGAAAATAATTTTTTAAAAAACTATACAGTATAGATGTTATAATAATAATAATAATGGGTCTTTATTTTTCAATTAGTACATGTATGTATGTATGTGTATGTGTATGTATACACGATATTTATAATTAAAAAAAAACAAAAATTAATAAATCCTAAATGTGCCGAATACCGTGGATAACGCCGAAACACGGGTATCATTTTTTCTATATTCAAAATATGTTAAAAAATTTCATGGTAGGAAAAAAATCAAATTTTGTCGTGATTGGCTGATTTCAATATTTACTGTTATTTAAACCAATCGGGTTTAAATTGGAAAAAAGTAAGGTGAACAGATGTCAGATTTTTTATATATACGAGGGGCGACTATAATGATCTTTAAAATCGGGGGAAAGTGAGGTTATAAAACATTTTGTTATGAAAATAACTTAATTGGAGTAGAAAAGGCATAGTATTACACTCGAAATAATGCGCATTATTCACTCGGATAACAATATAATATAAATACATCTGACAGCCGGTTTTAAAGATCTTTAAAGTCACCCCTCGTATATATAAAAAATCTGACACCTGCCGGAAAGTTCCAGCCTTTCTCCCAATTTAAAAACCGATAGGTTCAAATCACAGTGAATAATGAAATGGGCCAATCACTGATACCTAATAATGGAAAAAATGAATTTATTATTAAAATGGTTACCAATAAGAAAAAAACAAAGAATGTCAATATTATTCAAAACGACAATTATTAATTATACAAAAATGCTGTAAACGTCAATGAAAAAAAATAGCATTTTATTGCTAACCCTTGTATACCATTATGGATATTTTTTATGGAATTATGTCCTGACAATTTATTAATATTATAAATAAAAATGTTCATTAAAAAATCCTTATCATCCATAATAATAATTTATCCGATTCCTGTATTAATATTGAGGAAAAAAATCTTTTGTTTTTTGATTTTTCGAACAAAACTTAATCTTAATAAAAAGTTTTAATGAGCAAAATAACAAAACATTGACGTTAAAAAAAATTGAAATTTTATCTAAAGGGTGTTTAAAAATAAGAAAAACATGAAATCCATTCAAGAGAGAATCCTTTTTTTATAACTTTTTTTAAAATTTTATAGGAAAAAGTTGATTGCTATTTAAACACGAGTATGTATAAAGTTTTTTCCTAGGATTTTATGTTTTCCTAACTTTTAAACACCCTGTAGATAAAATCCTAAATTTTACTACGTGAATGTTTTTTTGACAATCAAAACGTGAGTTCGAATCCCACATGGGTAAAGACTACAAAAAATATGTAATTTTATCAAAAATAACTTTTTCTCTAAAAATCTTCTCTGAATTAACTCTATCCTGGAATCAAACAAAAAAAAATCGACCATAATTTCCGTCATAATTACAAAAACTTTTTCTTTTACAAATTTTCAAAAAAATTAAAAATAAAGGTACTTATTTCATAAAGTGATTTCATGTTCTCCTATATTTTTGAACATCCTATTAGATAAAATCTCATGTTTTTTTTTGGTGATTAATTTTTTTTTCTAGAATAAATTTTCTTCAAGAAACTAAAAATACTTTTTCCCTCTTGTAAATTTAATGTGTGAACAAACAGAAATGCAAAGTTGTTTTTATTTGCGCCGTTTTACATAAAAATATTTTATAAGAAAAGTCTCGAATAATAAAAGGTTATTTTTTGAAAACTTGTCGCAACACCCTGTAAATGAATTTCAGTATGCATTTTTCTTGTTGTAGTACTGTTTTACGGGTAGAGGGTAGTAAACGAACCCTTACAACAATATGGTGCGAATATTCTGAATGACTGTTGGCTATTGAGGTATCAAAACGTGGGTTCGAATCCCTCATGGGTATGGCTATTTATTTGTGTTCGTTCAGGGTTAAGTGGTAGAACAGCTAATGCTGAACTTCGCCCTTTGATTATTGATTGATCAATAAAGACTACAAAAAATATGTAATTTTATCAAGAATAATTTTTCCTCCAAAAATATTCTCTGAATTAACTCAATCCTGGAATAAAACAAAGAAAAATCGACCATAATTTCCGTCATAATTTTTCAATAACAAAAACTTTTTCTTATACAAATTTTCAAAAAAATTAAAAACATAGATACTTATTTCATAAAGTGATTTCATGTTCTCCTAATTTTTGAACATCCTGTAGATAAAATCTCATGTTTTTTTTGGTGATTAATTTTTTTTTCTAGAATAAATTTTCTTCGAGAAACTATAAATACTTTTCCCTCTTGTAAATTTAATGTGTGAACAAACAGAAATGCAAAGTTGTTTTTATTTGCCCCGTTTTACATAAAAATATTTTATAAGAAAAGTCTCGAATAATAAAAGGTTATTTTTTTTTAAATTGTCGAAACACCCTGTAAATGAATTTCAGTATGCATTTTCTTGTTGTACTGTTTTACGGGTAGAGGGTAGTAAACGAACCCTTACAACAATATGGTGCGAATATTCTGAATGACTGTTGGCTATTGAGGTATCAAAACGTGGGTTCGAATCCCACATGGGTATGGCTGTTTATTTGTGTTCGTCCAGGGTTAAGTGGAAGAACAGCTAATGCTGAACTTCGCCCTTTGATTATTGATTGATCAATAAAGACTACAAAAAATATGTAATTTTATCAAGAATAATTTTTCCTCCAAAAATATTCTCTGAATTAACTCTATCCTGGAATAAAACAAAGAAAAATCGACTATAATTTCCGTCATAATTTTTCAATTACAAAAACTTTTTCTTAACAAATTTTCAAAAAAATTAAAAATAAAGGTACTTATTTCAAAAAGTGATTTCATGTTCTACTAATTTTTGAACATCCTGTAGACAAAATCTCATATGTTTTTTTTTCTAGAATAAATTTTCTTCGAGAAACTATAAATACTTTTTCCCTCTTGTAAATTTAATCTGTGAACAAACAGAAATGCAAAGCCGTTTTACATAAAAATATTTTATAAGAAAAGTCTCAAATAATAAAAAATAATTTTTTGAAAAACTTGTCGCAACACCCTGTAAATGAATTTCAGTATGCATTTTTCTTGTTGTAGTACTGTTTTACGGGTAGAGGGTAGTAAACGAACCCTTACAACAATATGGTGCGAATATTCTGAATGACTGTTGGCTATTGAGGTATAAACAAATTTCCGTGGAAACACCGCCGGCACCTATCATTGGTACGGGGGGCGGCACTCGGCTGGCAACGCCTCTCCCGGACTATCCCGGACCTCGGAGCGCCGCGCTTCGTATCACTCTAACCGCCGACACCGCAGCCGATGCCACGTTTTCAAAGTTTAAGTGAGTGTTCTTCACTTTGTGAACTGTTTTGTGTGCGATAATATGGAGCAGCAGGACGATAGCCATCTAGCCGAGGAATACGTTCAAGATTTTGTACTTGATCATTTGGAAGACGTCACTGTGAAACGCGAAGGAAAAATGCAGGAGAACTGGGTGGAGGAATCGCCGAATCGCTTACGCCAACTGCAGTGGGAGGACAGGAGGATAGCCTCGCTGTCTCCTCCGCCGGATTCCATGTACAACCACCAGCAGCCAGTTTTGGTCAACATGTCCTTGATGAGCGATCCCGGTACTCCACCGGAAACGCCGCCTGGATCCTCGCCGATGCCCTACAGAACGCAAAGCATAATGGAAGAGATGATGTGGCTGCCGAACAGCATGAGGGAACCACAACCTCTAGACCTACGCCCTGTACACTGCATGGGCGAAGACCAAGGCTACATCCCGTCGGGGATGATGCTGGACAGCACGATGCATTCGATGCACCAAAGACCACAATCAGTATGTTCGGGATCGTCCGCTCTGTCTCCACGCCTAAACAATCACAACTCCGGCTACTCGACTTGTTCAGAAGACATCGGACTAAACGACGACATGCTGATGACCCTGTCGGTAAGAGAGCTAAACAAAAGACTACACGGCTGCCCGCGGGAGGAAGTTGTCAGACTGAAACAGAAACGACGCACGCTGAAGAACCGCGGCTACGCTCAAAATTGCCGATCGAAACGGCTCCAGCAACGGCAGGACCTGGAAACCACCAACAGGAGTCTCCAAGTGGAGTTGCACAGGCTGAAGAACGAGCTGGCCAGGGTGGCGCAAGAACGGGACATCCTGAAGCAGAGATTGCAGCTGGGCAGGACGCAAAACCAAATTCGGGGCTGTGGGGGCCTCAACTCCGACGGTCAAAGTTCGCCGGAGTTCTACCTATGACATACGCTTCCGGGTCGAAGATTATAGTGCTATTCGACCCCGCGGTATACCAACCACTAATATATACCGCGACACATCTGCAGGGTGGTGCTAAAACGCTTTGGAGTAGGTAGATCAAACAGATATTTCGTCTACATACTGCAAAGAGTTGTGACCTGGATTGTGAACACCCTGTATAAAATTGTGGACTTGTACAGTGATTTAAAAAACTTTCTCTCGAAAAGTGATTGCACAATTTTTATCATTTTTTCCTTTACTTCGAGTAGACATAAGACTGTTGATTTTTTGATAGAGGTTAAGTTTTTTGTTAATAAATACTTAAAAGTGACATGGCATATCGTTTTTTTATTTCTAATTTTTAAAAAATATTTTTATATTAATCAGGTGTTTTTCCAACCTGGTCAGTTGTTTAAATGATATATGATATGTTATAATATTGTAAATAAAATTAGAAACCGTAAATCTGGTTTAAATTAAGAAGGTTTTTTATTTTGATGATCCTAATTTGGCAATATTTTGATTTGATACATTGTCGATGCAATTATAGTTTTACTAATTTAGATGATTAATAATATAATGTTGTGATAAACTGAACAGTAAAAATGGTTATCAAATAATAAATACATAATAATAATTATTTTTGACCGTCTTCCCAAATAGATTAGGTGAGTATTCTTTATGTTACAATTACAATTACAATGCAATTATCCTTATGTATATTAATCGATCAAGTAAAAACAATGTGTTCAAGATTTTTATTTTGAATGGTTATTTTTGTAAATTTTCTGTGTGAGAGCTATTTTAAAATTATTTATTATTCTATTTAAATTGTCGTGTCTACTTTTTTACATTCAATTCATGAATTATTTCAATATATTCATCAAGGAGTTAAAAAAAGGAAACTGTCCTTAGATTATGCCAAAATAAAAATTCAGTTAACATTTAATTTTAGAGGTTCCTTATTTTTCGTTAAAGAAAAACTTAAAAATGTTTTGTTTTTACATTATTTTATCCAACAATAAATGTAGATATTTTTATATAATATATATTATTTAAATGTACAGGGTGTTTAAAAAAAACATGCGCCAATGCTCGGCTGGAAATTCGTAATCCAAAAATAAAAAAATAAAATTTTTTAAGTAGGTAACATTAAAAAAACTCCGTTTAAATCTTAAGCATTGTTTGCCTGATATTGTTGAAATTTGACAATGTTATTTATACGTTTTGTAAATTTTCTACAAAAAGCCCTGATTTATCAAAAAATAATAAGAGGTTAACTTGAAAAAGATGCAAAATATGCGTTTTGTCAATTTTTATGAAAAGGCATACCAGACAAAACCATACTTTTTTTTCTAAAACGAGGTAAGATACGAAAACAAGTGGCTTAATCATAATAAAATATAAAAAGTCAGTGGCGTACTTTTTTTGTCATTAATATTCGTTAAGGTGTCTCTCGGGACGCCACTGGACGACAATTTTAATCTAGTTTAAGTAAAATTGACTTCTTATCAGTATAAATAACAAAATCGGGCAAATGATATTTAAGATAAATTATTAATTAATTAAAAAGCCGTTTTTTATGTTAATCTTAAAAATTAATAATTTCTGGAGCTACGTTTAAATTAATTTTTTTTTATTTTTGAATGACGAATTCCAGCCGGGCATTGGCGCATATTTTTTGAAACACCCCTTATAAATAACTGGTTACCCTTTAGAACAATTAAATCCTCTATAAAAAATGTTAAGTATTTAAATAATAATTCACACTTTTTTTTTTAAATATGGTACACGTTTTTTAAGTGTACAAAATAAACCATTGATAATAGGTAAAAAAAGTTACCTAAATAACAATTTTCTATAGAATATTATAGTATATTTATTTATCTATAGAATATTATAGTATATTTTCTATAGAATGTTATACTGCCGTGCTTAATGAAAACGCCGTAACCAACAATTTTGCAATTTTTGGTTTACGGCATTTTCTACTAGAAAAATTCATCCTGCGTCTATCCCCGGTACCAAAAAACCGTATCTATATATATACGGTTTTTTGAGTACCGGGGATAGACGCAGGATGAATTGTTCTAGTAGAAAATGCCGTAAACCAAAAATCGCAAAATTGTTGGTTACGGCGTTTTCATTAAGCACGGCAGTATAGTATATTTAAAAACCTACAATTTTTTTTTTAAATTTAATGGTATCATTAATATTTAAAATGTTATATATTTGTTGTCCCATTTTTATTATTTTTAATTATTGTAAAAACCGTAGAAAAAACTGAAAAAACCCATATGGTTTTATTGAACTTTTAAGTAAATACAATATTTTTATTTATTTTAGTAAGATTTTTTGGAAAAAAGTTAATTTTGCATCTTCTATTTGGAACTGTTTTCTTAGTAAAAAATAATCTGACCATATAGCTTTTTGACATAATATTATTATCAATAGGCCTAAGAATGCAAAATTTAAAAATTATGTTTAAATTATTTAACATTTCCTGGCGATAGAATTAGCAATATTTGTTCATGATTTTTTTATTTTGTTATATTTCCAAATACCCTTACATTATTAATAATCGTTAAAACAAAGTGATTAGAAATGGGGGTTATATCAAATTTTATTATTTTTTGTTTTCCTCGTAGTAGTCTAAAACTTGTTTCATAAACTCCTCTATAGACATTTTTAATTAACACTAGCTAGCAGCTTCGCTCATGCCTAATTTAAAATTGTAACGATTTTAAATTAGGCATTAACGATAAATGCCGTTTATAAAACCTGTTACATAATATACCATTTTATTCATTTACTAAAACATTATTTACTTTATTTTTTACAATACTGTTTGACATTTTATTTAATTTAGGGACAAAAAAGTAAAATAATATTTTTATAATATTTTTTTTAAGTATTCCATATAAAATTATATATATGTCATTGGTTATCGAGTCAAGTGCCAGTAGAAAAATATTTACAAACCATGATAGACATTACAACCGGGACTATGGAATCGGTCAAGCTCAAAAAAAATTGTACGTGCTCGAAAGCAAAATTAAAAAGAGCCATAAAAACTTAATCGTGAAAATGTTTTATACACATGTCCCAATAGACAAAATGAATGGCTTCCGCCAAAGATCTATACCAAATAAATCCTAAATGTTTATTTGATTTTGTTTCAGTCTGTGGTATATATATAGGTACGATAATGGTGGATTTGTTTATTATTTCGGAGATTTATCTAAAAAGTTTAAATGTAAATTTCTTAAGACGTAGTACGTATTTTACCCGTATTTTATTAAAAAGAATTATAAGTAGGTTGGTAGTTATATAAATTTTCCATAAAAAAATGTTAATCATCGTGCAATATCATTCGAAGTGTCCACTTACTGTAATTTTAGATGATATATTTTACACTTTTATGAAATTGCAGTAAATATATTCTTTAATGAAAAGTTTCATAAATTATAGTAATTTAGGCAGTGAGGTTAACATAGTTTTCAGTTTGTATTTAAAAGTTCTTACTTTTTGATATTATTAATATTTTATTACCATAATTTTAAAAATAATAAAATTTAAAAAATGTTTTGTATTTTAAAAACAATTGTTACTGTATTTTCGGGACACCTTGTATACAGGGTGACCCAGTGCTCTGTGATCGGTGCATATTTTTTTTGCTATTAAAGATATCGATATGAAATTTTTATAGAAAATATGATCCAACTAAAGCTATTTTTCAAAATTATTTTGAACAAAATTCCACTTCCGGTTTCACCGGAAGTGACATCGACAATGTTATTTCAAATGGAATACCCTGTATATTTTTTGATTTTTAAATTTCATATGTAATTCCTGATAAAATTTCTATAACATTTCCTATACCTAAACTCAATAGTTTTCGAGTTATTAATTTTTTTCGTAAAAATTTGACAGTTGCGCCTTCAACAAAAATAGCCTATAACTTCTTTGTTATTAGGTCTATTGGTATGCGGTTTGGATTTTTGGAATGTTGAAACATTGTTTTAAATATCCCGTATCAAACTTTTCCATATTTCTAACTAATTACTTGATAAAAATTAGGGTGAATTTGACAAACTTTAAACGATAATAACTTTCTTATTTTTAATGGTTATTGTATTGGAGAAGCGGATCGAAATGTTCTGCTAGCTAGTAGAATTTATCATCAAAAATATCCAGATTCAAGATTGCCCCGAGTAATTTATTTCAAAAATTGAGGGATAGATTTGAATTGACGGGTAATATTTCTTACAAGAAAGAAGAATTGATTGGACGGAGAATTAATGAAGACCATGAATTAGAAGTTCTTTTGACGATAGAGGAAAGTCCTTTTTTGAGTACTCGGGAGATCATAAGAGAAACTGGTCTATCGCAAAGCAGTGTGAATTTTAAACCATAGATAAATTTCACCCGTACCATATGGAAGAAACTTTATGATGACGATTTTCGGCATCGAGTAGATTTTTCAAATAGAATTCTTGAAATTGTGCATGCTAATGGCAACTTCTTTAACGGCATTTTATTTTCGGATGAATCTACTTTCGAGAGTAGTGGATTTGTTAATAGGCACAATTTGCACTATTATACGACTCATAACCCTTATTGGCTGAGAACCATGGATCACCAAAATAGGTGGTCATTGAACGTTTGGGGAGGTACTATTGGAGGCCGTGACGTAGACTTGCATACAAGACCGAACATGTGGATTCAGCATGATGGTGCTCCTGTTCATTATAGCCGTATCGTACGGCAGTTTTTAAATCGGAGTTACGCTAACCGTTGGATAGGAAGAGGAGGAACTATTGCTTGGCCAGCTTGCTCCCTAGATCTGACACCCATTGATTTTTTCCTTTGGGGGTATGTAAAGGAAAAAGTTTACAGAGAACGACCAAGCACAGCTGAGGATATGATGCAGCGAATAACCGATGCATTTAATTCTGTTAACGAGGATATGCTAACCCGCGTGAAGCAACCTTTTCTACATAGACTTTGTGACATTTTGTGTGTTCAGCAGAATGGCCGTATATTTGAGCATTTATTATAATTATTAATTAAAGTATTTCGGTAAATTAAATTTTTGATTCTGATTTAATTGATTTTTGTGCTTCTATTATTTTATTAAGAATAAATAATAATACAATTCAACGAAAGAAATTATTAATAATTATTTCTCTCTGTATTACGTTGAATTGTATTATTTAGAATAACTGGTGGATTATGTGATATGTACTCCTTTTTACCAAAAAGATAATTTCACACTTGAAACAATTAGATTTTAAACAATTTTTGTTATTGGTATCCATGGATACGTCAAAATAACTAGCTTGTCGATTTTTCAG